TTTTTCCTAGGGTTGGGATATTTGTGGCTTATGGTCATGTTGACATTAGCCATCAGGCTGATGCTCTTTGGGTTGAATTTAGGTGGTTTTGATCAGCGGAACTTTAAAATGTCAGTGCTTGTCCAAGATGTCAATGGTCCTGCTCTGTCAGTGGACTTTTAAAGCCCATACACTAGATGTATTCCTGAGTCTGCTGTAACAAAGTATCATATGCTAAGTGGTTTAAACAGCAGAGATTTATTGTCTTACATTTCTAGAGGCTAGAGAGCCAAGATCAAGGTGTCAACAGGGCCTTTGAGGCCTGTGAGACCGAATCTGTTCCAGTTCCCTTTCCCAGCTTCTGGTAGCCTTGAATGATTCTTGGCTTGAAGATGGCCATCTTTACCCTGTGTCTTCACCTTGCTTTTTTCTCTAGGTGTTTGATTTTGTGCCCAAATTTCCTTTTTTGTAAGGACTTGTGTCATTGAATTAGGGCTCATCCTAATCACTCAATTTAACATAATTATTTCTATAAAGACTTTATATCCAAGTAAAGTCACATCAGGAGGTACAGAGGGTGGGACTCTACCATCTTTTTGTGGGACACAATTTAACCAGGTAATACTGATGCTCCTGCTCTGGGAACCATACTTTGAAAACCACTAGGCTAATCTAACTGCCTGGTTACTCTGGTAAGAAATGTAGGCTTTCCTCTAAGCTAAATGACATTCTGTGGCAGGGCTCGGATGAGAACCCTGATTTCTTGGTCCACATTTAATGAACTTTTCATACCACTAAGTGTTTGGACATCTGTGAACCCAAAGTTCTCTGAAGATCTCAGATGTCTGTGAAAACCATTAAGTCTTTTTGTTTTTTCCTAGGCTTAGATTTTCGTATTGATCCACAAAGTTCTGCAGCTCTAGGGATGATTTCCGGGAATCCTGCAATGCAGGGCAGAGCAGGGGGACATCAATTTTCTGAGGATGACATCATTCAGAGGTGATAAAGGAGACAGTAATAAGGAAATGAGGTAGGAGGAACACAGGAGAAAGAAATTACAATTATGCCAATTTACGCTGGTGCCACAGCCTGCCACACCTTTCAGTGTGAGTCAGAGAGAGATGGAAGGTGAAAATCAACTCTTCTTGTCAGAAGTACATAAAACAAGGATGTAGCATTTCAAGAATAATGGTAAGTTGCACACTTATGCATCTACCAGTCATTTAACGATTAAAAAAAACAATGGCACCTCCTGTACCCTTCTGGAGGCATTATTCTCCCTCCTCCCAGTGGTATTTACTATCCTGAGTTTTGTGTTTATCATTTTCTTGCTTTTCTTTATAGTTTTACTATGTAGAAATAAACCCTTAAATAATATCTTGCTTAGTTTTGCTGATTTTTTGTAAATAGAATACTACTGTGTCTATGAATATGTGACTTCCTATTTTTTGCTCTACCTGGTAAAACTCAACTATATTCATATGCATAGTTAAGGTTCAGTCATTTTCATTGCTTTATGTGCTCTCTTGTCTATCCATCCTCCTATCAAGACAGGTTATTTTTGTTGTTACCCCAAAAAACGGTTGCTATGAACATCCTAATACATGTCTCCTAATGTACTGTGCAAGACCTTCTGCAGGGTATATATCTAGGAATGTAACTGATGAATTGTTGGGTGTGCTTATCTTAAGCTGAGTAGGTTACTAATTACCTGGTTGATTTCATGAGAGTTATACCAACTTACACTCCTACCAGCAGCATTTAATATTTCCTGCTACCCCATATCTCAACACTTGGTGTTAGTTCAACATTTTGATATTCCTGATGTTCATCTCACAAGCTGTCTTTAGAACAAAACCCTCACATCAGGTGCTCAATAAATGAGAACAAAATGAAAAGAATCTAAGCTTTAGCCATTTGGTAAACTAAATTTTTTTTTTCAAATTATAAAGATTGATCAGCATGTTTCAATCTTTCCTATGTCTCCAAATTATGAAACTAATGTCAACATGTAGCAGTGCATTTGTTCCCAAATTCAAAGGCTACACAGGAAATTGAATGCAGGAGTACAAGTATTGCACCTAGAGTTGGAAAATATACTACATTTGCTTTACTGTACAATCATGCATTCTGAGAAATGTGTCGTTAGGTGATTTTTGTCACTGCACAAATCTCAATGGTGTAGCCTTCTGTATAGCTTGGCTATGTGGTACAGCCAATTGTTCCCGGGCTACGAATCTACACAGAATACTGTAGGCAACTGTAACTCAATGGCGTGTATACCTGTATTTAAGCATAGAAAATATTGTATAAAAGGTAAAAATGGTACATTTGCATAGGACATTTACCATGGATGGAGCTTGCAGGACTCAAAGTTGCTCTGGGTGAGTCAATGAGTGAGTAGTGAGTGAATGTGAAGGCCTAGGACATTGCTGTACACTACTGTAGACTTTATAAACACAATACACTTAGGCTACAATACATTTATTAAAAAATTGTGTCTTCAATAAGAAATTCACCTTAGCTTACTGTAACTTTTTAACTATAAACTTTTTAATATTTTAAAGCTTTTTGGCTCTTTTGTAATAATACTTAGTTTAAAACATAAACACGCTGTACAGGTGTACAAACACAGTTTCTTTCTTTCTGTTCTTTTTCTTTCTTTATATTCTTATTCTATAAGCTTTTTTCATTCTTCAATTAATTTTTTTTTAGCTTTTTAAACGTTTCTGTTAAAAACAAAGACAGAAACACACATTATCCTATACAGGGTCAGGATCACTAATGCCACAGTCTTCTACCTCCACAGTGTGTCCCACTGGAAGGTCTTCAGGGGCAGTGACACACGTGGAGCTGCCATCTCTAAGACAATAATGCCTTCTTCTGGAATATCTCCTGAAGGATCTATCTGAGTTTGTTTTACAGTTAACTTTTTCTTTTTATAAGCAGAAGAAGCACACTCAAAATTAATGATAAAAACTGTAAGGTATAGTCTGGTAAATAAACTAGTAACATAGTTTATTATCACATATTATGTATTATACATAATTGTACATCCTTTAATAGGACTGGCAGTGCATAGATTTGTTTACACTATTATCACCACAAATGGGTAAGCAATGCATTGTACTATGATGTCTTGATGGCTATAAGGTCATTAGGAGATAGGAACTTTTTATCTCTATTATAATTTTATGTGAACCTTTTAGCTCTATTATAATTTTATGTCTTATGTGAGGGTCATTGTTGACCGAAACTGCATTATGCTGTGTATGACGGCATTCTCATAAAGGGCTGTGACATGAACTTCAGAAAAAGGAAAAATCTCCACAACTCCTAACCTTAATTTTAATACTTCGTTCTTACATGGTACAACATCAATAAATTTTTGATAGTATAAATCCTGTTTCCACATACTTACTGTTTTCTACCTAGTTGAATTTCCACAGTTAAGATCTAAAAAAATATTTAAATAATCTCACAATGTGTAGGAACTGCTGCTTAAAGACATCTATTTAAATAAACTATAAAGTCTTGGTTCTCGGCGGGGCACAGTGGCTCACGTCTGTAATCCCAGCACTCTGGGAGGCCGAGGTGGGCAGATCACCTGAGATCAGGAGTTCTAGACCAACCTGGCCAACATGGCAAAACCTTGTCTCTATTCAAATACAAAAATTAGCTGGGCGTGGTAGCAGGTGCCTGTAAGCCCAGCTACTCAGGAGGCTGAGGCAGGAGAATCGCTTCAACCCAGGAGGAGGAAGTTGCAGTGCACCGAGATTGCACCACTGCACTCCAGCCTGGGTGACAAAAGCGAAACTCAGTCTCAGAAATAAAATAAAATAAAAAAGTCTTGGTTTCCAAATGCTAGTTCATCCACCTGTCGACAAAAAGAGTCAAACTCTCTAAAATGTTTTGAAGAGATTTATTCTAAGCCAAATATGAGTGATCCTGGCCTGTGACACAGCCCTCAGGAGGTCATAAGAACATGTGCCCAAGATGGTTGGGGCGCAGCTTGGTTTTATACATTGTAGGGAGGCATGAGACATCAATCAAATACATTTAAGATATATATATATTGGTTTGGTTCAGAAAGACCTGGGATTGATAGAAAGGGAATGTTCAGTTAAAGATTGTGGAGACCAAAGTTCTTTTGAAGTCTTATAGTGGCTGCCTGTAGAGACAATAGATGACAAATGTTTTCTATTCAGATTTTAGTTAATCTCTTTAGGATTGGGAGGATCTGGAAGAAAAGATCTAGCTATGTTAATAAAGATTCTTTACAGATGCCTATTCCACCCCTCCAAGGACAGCTTTGCAGGGCTATTTCAAGATATGGCAAAGAAACATGTTTTGGGGTAAAATATTTGGATTTTCTTCCTTGTCTCGTAATGTTATGCCACAGCCAGGTTGGAAAGTAAGTCACCATATATAGGGTTAAATAAAACCCATCTGATAAGAATTTATGATTTGTAGGGCATAACTCCCCAAATCCCATAGATAGGAATTTGGACAAGATTCTTTTAAAAAGCAGAGTTTAGTCCTCAGAGCTCTGCCAATTTCTCATGAAATTTTTCGCTAGGCTAAAAGCTAATAACAAAAAGAAGAACAGGATAACCATTTTATACAAGTAAATGCATTCCATTTAAAAGATTTTTATTATGAAATCATGCCACTCTACCTTTCTCATGTTAAAAAGTTCTGTTTCGTGAAATGATGGTGATAGTAGATGGCATTTACCTGCTTGACAACTATGTATGATCTCAGATTTTCTGGTATGTTTTAATTTTACTGACCCTTCATATATGTGTTTGTAAACCCTTATAAAGTGTGTTACTACATCACTGAATATGTGTTTCGTAGAAAGCACCCCGGGAGTTAACTGCCAGGAGCACGCAAGTTTTAGAGAGCAAGACACACTGATCTCTATTCAATAATCAGTTCTGATTGAGTTTCAAGTAAGGCTTAGTACCAACGCTTAGGGAGGGACGTGCAAAAACGAGAAAGGCAGTTTTTGTGCTTACCGGTTTAAGTTTTAACCTGCGCATTGTGCAATTAAGAAACGACGCAGGAGAGTGCCAGAGTACTGAGAGGGGTTTGACAGTTGCTGGAAGAAGGTCTTGACTTGGATCCAGAAGAACGTAGAAAGTTAGAGGAGGAGGAAACTCCTACTGGATAAGGCAGATACGAAGTAAGGTTTGGAGTCCATTTGGGGCCCTAGCCGTCCTGCCAAAGTGGAAGAAGAGCCGGCTCGAGGTGCAGCAACAGGGCTGGGAAGGAAGGGCTGGCTAAGGGGCCACGTGGAAGTGAGTGCCAAAGAGATCAGGAGAACTACCGACTTCAGAACGTGAAGAGAAAACAGGCCAAGACAAACGACCCACTAACGCTCCTTCTTGAAGTCGACACTGGCCAGGGGTGGAGTCGGACACGCCCCGCGGACTCTATGCACCCAATCAACGACGTGTTGTTTCGGGCCTTGGGACAGGGAGAAGCTCTTGCTTTCAACCCGCCGGGACCCGGCGCCCATCAGCGCCTGCGCAGTTTCTAGGCCCCGCCCTCTCGCGCCTTAGGTTCTGGATCTCCCACAGCTAACATGGCGGCCCCCTGTGTGTCCTATTGCGGAGCAGTTTCCTGCCGGCTGCTTCTCTGGGGTAGGGGTAGCCTCCTCCGGAAGCAAGTCCTCTGGAAAACCGCTGCAGCTGAGTTGCAAACAAATGTCAGATCCCAGGTAAGGCCTGGGAGGACTGGAAGCGGTTTATCTCTGCAGCGCGAGGATGTGAAACCAGCGGGGGCATCCACAGTGGATGCCTTGTGGAGCCTTCTCCCAGCGTCTCGCGTGCCTTAGAGTCTTAGGTATTTAGTGGAGGCCTGAGTTTGGGAGTGGAGAGGTGGGCCTTAGCTTCCAGCGGCTGCTGTGGAGGTTGTTACTTTTTTTGTCATGTGCAGCGAGGGCAGGTTACCTGCAGGTGGAAGTGGAGTGAGCTCTTCTTTCATTTGGCTGCTGAGCTGAGGGTCAGTGGCTAGGTCTGGTGTTGGGTCCAGTCCTTCCACCCTGCCCTGCTGTCCAGAGAGGAGGAGGGCAGAGTGAGAGTAGAATGATGGGAATTGGATTCCTGTAGGGTCCTGGAAGACAGTAATGGAGGAGTCACGCTGTGTAGAGGACGGTGACTTTTTAAAAGTGACTTACATCTGCGCAATTTCTGTCTTCTTAATTTTCCCGAATCTTTCTCTATGGAAAGATGCAGGTCAGAACTTGTACCTTTGCTTTAATCCAGAGGGAAGTGGGGAGTCAACAGCTGATTGGTTGATGATGCCAATTTACTGATATGAGCTCTCAGAAGAGAAAAAAGATTTGAGAGGGAAGAAACGAGTTTATTTTTGGACTATGTTGTAGGCATCTGGGATTTCCAGTAGGTGTATAGATAGGGAAGTCTATGCCTCAGGAGGAGAACTGAATTCGAAGTGCCCTGTTACCTTGTAGATGGTAATTGAGGCCTAATTACCTAGGGAGAGTGTACTGAGGAGTAGGCAGAGGGACAAGGCCCTGAAGGACAAATAAGGAATAAGAGGTCCCAAAAGTTTGTGAATGAGAGACCAAAAAAGCAGGGGAAAAACCAGCCAGTGTGGTGTCATGGAAAACAGGTTAATGTTTCAAGGAGAGGAGTGATAACCCGTACTAATTATTGGAGGGAAGTCAAATACCATACTTTAAAAACCATATTTAAAAAAAAATCTTTTTATATGTTCTTTCTTTTATATTCTAACCTAGATCAGCAGTCTATTCATTTGGACATTTGATTTTATTTTTATTTTTTCTTACTGGACAATGTGCTAGAAATTTTTATTTTTTTCATGCATCTCTAAGTATTTGCTGTATACACATGATTATGAGAAGGACTGTATCATACAGAGTATTTTTATTGTTGATATTTAATATGTGTATTGGGGGATGGCTTTCTGTCCCTCCTGGCATCTATCTATGCTTTTTCCATATTATAATCGTGGATAAACATACATGCACAGGTGTACTTTACAAAAAATGGGACCATATTGCATTGCATTTTACTTTTTGCTCTTCTGTATGCAGTATATTGTGTAGTAGAAATCCTTCAGAGTCCCCTATTACATTTTTTTTTTTTTTTTTTTTCGCTCTTGTTACCCAGGCTGGAGTGCAATGGCGCAATCTCGGCTCACCGCAACCTCTGCCCCCTGGGTTCAGGCAATTCTCCTGCCTCAGCCTCCTGAGTAGCTGGGATTACAGGCACGCACCACCATGCCCAGCTAATTTTTTATATTTTTAGTAGAGACGGGGTTTCACCATGTTGACCAGGATGGTCTCTATCTGTTGACCTCGTGATCCATCCGCCTCGGCCTCCCAAAGTGCTGGGATTACAGGCGTGAGCCACCGCGCCCCGCCTTACATTTTTAAAAGCATTTTTAACTGCTGCATACTGTTCTGTAATAAGAATGTATCAAAGTTAATGTAGTAATTGATGAACATTTGCTTTGTTTCTACTTTCTTTGCACTAATTAAGTTTCAGTAAACATCTGGTCTAGTTCTTAGGTAGTGGTTTAGTAAAATGGATGAAGAATGATTTCTCCTTGTTACTTTAGTTTTCATCTCCTGGACCACTCTTTGAAACAGTCCCTTTCCCCCATATGACAAATATTTACCGAGATCTTTATCTGAACCAGGCACTGTAAAGTAAACAATTTAAAGTCAAACAAACAATTACCAGACAGTATCGACCCTTAGCACTCTTAAGGGATGGTCCTGAAATGGCTGAATCCCCGGATTCCTGAATACCACTATAGTTTATGTTTTACCATATGAAGCACAGCTGAGATATAACTGAAACACTTAGCTGACCCCCTTTTAGATTCTTAGTCATTCCCTGCATATGCTTAAAGGCATTCATAAAGCTTTTTTTTTTTTTCTTATCCTGGCACAGACCTTATCTGTCTTAAATATTAATGTTTTTGCACTTCCATCTTCAACATTAATAGATTTCTCATGGTAGTCTATGTTTTATAAAAGAATAAAAATTTTAATCACTTAATGAGTGACAAAACTGGTCTTTCCTTTGTTCAAAATTTAATCTCCTTAATTACAAAATCACTTCAGAGGTTACAGAAAGCTTGAAGGGTATGGGAGAATAGAATAATAATAAAGTGCATTTCATACAGAGTATTTTTCCATTTTGTTTATATATGTAAATGTATACTAGGCGGTAATATAAACAGTACATATTACTGTGGTTCACAGTTTTAAAAGTTTGAGAACACTGATACGACAAGAAAAAAGTGAGTTTTGTTAAGCTATTCCTAGGTTGTCAGTTGAAACACTCACTAGCAGACTACCTTTTGCATACCAGTCTTGCGGTATGCATGTTTCATATTAATGCATCAGTACAATTGCAGATGTCTGAGTGTCCCAAATTTGGGGCAGAAGAGGCAGTCTTACTCATGGATGGCCAAACTTCTCAGATTATAAACCCACGAATGTCAGGGATCCGTAGTGTACTGTGATATTTACAGAGGTAAATACAGAAGAGCACTGAAGTGCTATACCTGAGTCAGATTAGAGTTATTGACCAGATAGACGATCGTCATGGACAGCTTCCCAGAGGAGGCAAAGGAAAATAGCGTCTTTAGCAACAATTAGGAGTTATATGAAAACAGAAAGCTATTTTATTCAAGGAAGATATAATAGGTACATAAAGGTATAGAGATATACTGAGTAATAGTGTGTTTTGTCAGCAACAGTTGGTTATAGCATAGGGTTTTGTTGAGAGAATGGTGAGAGTCAGGACTGGAAAGTTTGGCAGGAATCAGTATGGTTTGTTTTTCTATGCTAAGGTAGCTGAATTTTTTATCTGTCACAAATGAAAATAGTGTTAGCATTATGATGAGCAGTTGACAGTTCCTTTCCATGCTGTACTACAAAGGTTACCCATGAATTCATAAATCCTCTACCAATACAGGTAATATAGGAATGCTAATTTAGCTTTCTATAATATTTGTGATTCTTATGATAAGGAAAAGCGAAAGCCCAATTGCTATTTTGAAAAATATTTCTACAAAACATGAATAGGGTGTCTTCTTTATTTTTCTTTACTACTGAACACTTTCTTAGAGCTTAAACATTCCATTTTACCAAGCCAAGATGCCTTTGTTGATTTAGACCATCTGCCAGAGAAGTGATCAATGACATTAAATGGCCTGGTCCTTTATATTTTGATTTCACTGTAAACACATTCCTGTATCTGTCTAAAGTATCTGTTTTTCTTTTTTTAATCTCCCATGCTCCTAGAGGTTATAATGTCCTGTATTTATCACAGCATTCTGTTGGTCTGCTGCAATAGGGTCTTAATATATTTTTTTGACAAATGACTAAAAAACACTTTGGAAAATAAATGTATAATTGACTTGAATTTGTATGAGATGCTGTATACAGCTATGTAAATTAGTTAGGCCCTGGATGAGGGGCCTAACTACATAGCATAATTTTTTAATATATTTATTTCTAATCCCAGTTTATTAGCAATGGAAAAGAAAAGCTCTTTGGTAGGATATGCTTTTCCCTTTGAGATCTAATCCTATCCTTGTCAGGATAGAATTGAGTATGTTCCTCATTGCTTTAATTATGAAAAATAACTCCACATTAAAATTTACACTTTTCTTATTTGGCAATTTATAAATTTCTTATTTAATAAGAGCTCGATAATAAATGCTATTATCATTTCCACCTATCTTTTCCTTATAAAACAAGATAACTAAACTTTCTTGTACTATGCCTCATTGTTGTAATTAGGATGATGAATGTATCAGCTCTTTGTTGCTATATAACAAATCATCCTGAAACTTAGCAGCTTAAACGACAGACATTTGTCATCTACAGTTTCTGTGGGGCAGGGTTCTCCAGGCACACCTTGCTGGATCCGCTCGCTCAGGGTCTCCCGTAAGGCAACAGTCCACATATTGGCCGGGACTGCAGTCATCTCAAGGCTCCACTGTGGGTGGGGAGAGTCTGCTTCCAGGCTCACTCAGTGTTGTCTTTAGCAGGATTTAGATTCTTGCAGGCTGTCAGGCTAAAGACCCCAGGTCCTTGCTGGCTATTGGCCAGAGTCCTCCCTCAGCTCATGCCACATGGGCCCCTAGGGCA